GAACAGTTTTGGTTTTGTCATACCACGTGACATTTCCCGTCACATGTGTTGCCCTGATACTTTACTAGATGTCAATTTGGGATAACGATGTGAATCTGTGATAAATTAAAAGAGTGTTTAATTTATCAGTTTTGATTAGATCAAAATAATATTTCATGTCGTTACGTATCGTGGTCGAGAACCTAATGGGTCGCACACAAAAGAGAATTAATAGATTGTAAATTTCCAATTGATTAATTTAACAATCGTTGGATAAATTAATTAATTGGATTTGTTATTTATATTTTCGAATTAATTAATTGGATTGATTAATTCAGGGACCGAATTTAATTAAATGGATTAATTAAACAATGGATCGGACGGGGTCGAGCCCGTTTGGGTTTATATAAATACATGACTAGGGTTTGAGGTCCATAAGGTTTTCATTATTCTTACTGGCACAAGAGAAAAAACCCTAGCAGTTGCAGTCTATTCTCCGTGTGGATTTCATTGGAGGCTGGACAATTAGACAATTGTGGGAGGTAGATTCAAGCTGCTGGAAAGGAATAACGCGAAGGAGTTTGCAAATTAAAGAAAATGTATATTTCTTATCACAGTTTTTATCTAAATACAAAGCTGAATCCTGAATGAGAATTGGAGTTTGTTAAATTCCGTTATACATATTTAAGTAAATTCCCAACAAATACAAGGTTAGCCAGAGCAACCTTCATTAGTTAATCGTCAAAATTTATTGGCCGACCAAGAAGCGTTTACAAGGCAAATGTTAGGGGTTCCAATAAAGAAAGAGGAGAAAGAAGCATTATTTAACTTCAAAAGAATAGGTCACTTTCATCAGCAAAATTGTAAAGAATTAAAACAAGGTAAATTTAAAGGACAGGCTGAAGGAAGCTACCAGACAATGGGAACTCAACAAAATTGCTATAAGAGAGGTAAAATATATCAACGATCTAATGACTTGTGTTTTGTATGTGGAAACGAGGTCATTATGCTGGAGACTGTTGGTTTAAAAAGGGGCCAGCAGAAGGTAATGTAGCAACCTCCAACGAAGATAAATATACTAATGAAGAAGAATGGGATGCTGAAGCAACCAAAGCAACAATGGAGCAAGCTCGAGAAAAGAAATTAAATTCAAGTTTAAAGGATGAAGCCGCGTTAGTGGTGGTCCTACCTGAACAATTGGCTTATAATGCAAAACATGATTGGATTGATGACTCGAGAGAGTATATCGTGGTTCAGGAAGAGCTTTCTTGGTGGACTCCGTTGAGGAATGAACTACCATACTCGAAAAAGTGTTCGAAGAAATATATTCTTTGGAGACATAGAAGATGGTAGAGCTGCTAGATTTAAAAGAAACTGAAGACAAATCGCAAGAGGAAATTACAGAAGTACAACAAAGCTATGAAGAAACAAAAGATACACAAAGATCAACTGACGAGGTAAAATCAAAGAAGATTAGGCGAAGTCAAAAACAAGAGATTAAGGTACGTACAAATTTACAACGTCAAATAAAAAAGTTGGACAAACGTGGGAAATTAAGTATCAATTATTCTAATTTAGAAATTGATGGAGGGGAAAGTATGGAAATGCCATATACCATATATATTTGAAGCAACAAATGCGTTGAATAAAGTATCAATCACTTCAAAATTCGTCGAGCCAAAATTGAGCATGACGAAAAAAAAATAGTTAAAATGAAAAGTTGATACTGAAGGGGAGAATTAAATAAATCATCACCAGCTTTAAATATCTAGAATTTGCTAGATTTAAGCATGTAAAATATTCTAGAGACTCATTACTCGCTAGAAATGAAGATCACCGCCATTCATGAAAAATTTAGAGAATAGAATTGTGAAGCCAATGGAAGAATTCTCAAGAAAAATGTAAGCTATAAACTACACTGCCATATTTTGCCTATACATATGTGTTGGCTGAATGTATTTGTTGACTTTGAGAATTGGACCTTCCACGTGGCCAACAGATAGCTACTCCAAGTAATCCTCCCTGTGCACAACAACGCACGGTCAAAAGCTCACGGTCAGAATCAGCGGTGGTGGTGGCGGCCGCATACACTCCGACGATCAAGTCAGCGGGGTGATCGGAACAGTGCTCAAGTTATGCAAGAGAGTAGGGAAGAGAATATATATTACTTAGTATGGAGAGCTAAGTTATAAGAGTTTCATTACCTCTTTCTCTTATTAAACCTTGAGTATTTATAGATGTAGAGCTCCGTTGGATGTGTAACGCGTGTATGCATCTGATGGTGTGAAACGTCTGCTCATAGGCTTGAATCAGCCGGGTCTAATGTGGGCGGACAATTAATTCTTCTGAGTTAAGTTGACATAAAGTCGATATATCATATCAACTAGACTCATGGAGACGTTACATCAAGATCCTGACAGATATTTTTCTGATAGTGGCGGCGGAGAGATCTGTTAAGGAAGTGCCTCGGATCCTTAAACACTTCGGCGTTAGGAGAACTTCAGTTATTTCATTGGATCTACTCTTCACCTTACAACGCACCATGTTGAGGTCGTCAGGAATTGGTATCACTTCGAAAATACTTCGGATGTACATGTGTCACTTCGAGGAGTGTTGTGACTGTAGTGCCGAAATAGTTTAGTTAGGGGCGTAACAATATCTATGTGCATGAGGCGAGAAAATTAGGAGTGAGAGGAAGAGAGTGGCGAGCATAGAGAGAGACGGTAAAGTGAGAAGTGGGGAGGGAGGGAGGGAGTGAGTGGGTCTAGTTGTTTTGGTGAGTGCTACCATTCAATTGTATAAAATAATTATGAGAAGTTACCCAATAGTGTAAGTGTCATTTGTATAAATATTCCTCTAAATAAAATAATATTTTTGGGATTTAAATTCATCATCCAACAAATAGAGGCTCCAACACCAAACTAGCACCTGAGGCAGCTTCTCGCGAGCCTAGGCTTGGAGGAAATGGCCTGAAAAGTTAAGCCATCGCCATTGTTAATGGAGGCCAATTTCTACTTGTGGACACCGCCTCTCCGCTGCTCTCGTCGTAACCAAAAAATGTGGCCATTAGAATTTTTTTTTTTTCTTCACAATTTCCTCTTTAAAGGTGGGGGTGTATATCATTGTTGAAGGGGCGCGGGTGGTGCGAGGATGAATGTAGTTGGATATACCTGATTTTTTATAAAAAATTTATTAGTAGCTGATTTTTTAATTTGAAAGTTACTAGTAGGATATGATGTAATTTTCCCATCCGTTTATTGCTTTCTAAGAGACGAAATCCCCCCAATGATCATTGAATTTTGCGAAAAATCCCCTAGGAGGTCACCGAATTACAATACGTCCCTATATGGTCACTGAACTTTTTCGAAATCCCCCAAGAGATCATTGAACTTCAAAAACGTCCTTAAATGGTCGCTGTACTTTACAAAAAGTCCCTGGGAGGTCACTAAACTAGTTATGTATGAGGTCCTAATTTGCAACGTTAAGTAACCTCTCTAGGGGAATTCGACAAAGTTCGGTGACCATTTAGAGACGTTTTGAAGTTTAGTGATCTCTAAGGGGTCTTTCGCAAAGTTCAGTGGCTATTTAGGGACGTATTGAAATTCGGTAACCTCCTAAGAAATTTTCTGCAAAGTTCAGTGACCATTGGGGAGATTTCCTCCTTTCTAAGATGTGTTACTTTAGTCTAACCGAGGCCCACTTAATATTCAATCTTGCCACAATTCTCTACCTGGGATTGGAGATTGGGGATTCGAATTGAGTTGAGTTGAAACGATATGGTTTTGATAAAGCCCTAGCTGAAAGGAAAATTAAATCGAAAGTTGTGGTTTGTCAAAGAGTAATGTTATTTATAGTTGTTTACTGCGCTAGTTGTCTTACATGATAATTTGTTCTACCTCATATATCAAATAACTAAGGAAAAAGTTGTTTGAACAGGGTCACGTCGGCCTTGTTCGAATAGGGGGCTGATGTGGCGTTCCTGGACGGAGCAAAATTAAATAACTAATCGTCACATGTATACGACTGTAATAGTGGATCACTAGAAATAACATTATTCATTATTCAAAAAACTCAAAACTATGAAAATAAGAAACATTCTAATTTTTTATTGATTCTATTAATATTTGTGGTTCTAATAATAATAAAATTGTTCAATTTATAGAGTGCTAAAAGTTTTGACGATTCAATGCACGATTCTATTAATATTTGAGGTTGGATAGTAATATAAAAAAATGTTCACTTTATAGAGTACTAATAGTTTGACGACATTTGAGAGAAGTGTCATTTTATTATAAATCATCAAAAATTATCAAAGCCATAACTTCTATAATGAGAGACATAGTTAAGATAAAAGAATTGTCAAGGCAATATTCGCAAAATTTTAAATGTGGAAGCAAAGATTGAAAGTTATAGGATTTTTCTTTTTTTAAAATCTTGAATTTTAAAAATTTTCCTTTTGACCCCATTATTTAGTATTATAATTTTTAAAATAATATTTTGTACGGGCATTTGACTCTACTGTCTTTCGCAAAATCCGTCCCTGTCTATAACTGTGCAATTGACCGTTTAATCAAATTTCTTGATTTTTTCGATTTACACTTTGAATGCAGAAATAATTTAGACATCATCGAGCTTGCGTTGCTCCGATATGGAAACCTTCCCATTTAGGCGAAAAAATTGATAATTCCAACTTTACAGGATTTCAACACCAGCCATATAAAAATACCAATTTGCCACCGAAAGTATCAAAAATAATTGTTTCTCTCTCCTAACAAACAAGGCTCTAGGTGTTGGCTCAGCGGCTGCGTCGGTGCGTCCTCGTGCCAGCCACTTACTGACGTCACGGTTCCCCGAATCACTTTAATATTTTTATAAATTAATTAAAATTACCTACTCCAGAATTCAATTAGCTCGATTTATTGACCAACTTAATGACAATTTGACGTATATTTTTTCAAAAAAATATAATTAATAAATAATTAAAACTGTAAATCAGCTATAGAATTATTCTATAACACTAATTAATCAAGTTGAATCAGAAATGCACTTTTATTCATTTATTTCATACACATGTGACTCCCCTCACAAATATTCATACAAATAAAATATAATATAAAAAAAAGAAATAAATATTAAACTAAGATTACAACTAAATCAAACAAAGGGACAAATAAATCTCAGCCGTCCAAATGTCACACCTATATCAACATAAGCTTCCACGTTGAAAACCTACATCAACGCCACCGCCACAAGCGTTGCAGCAAAGGCCGTGCTGCCAATCGCCGCCCTGTTGACCCACCCGTCATTTGAACCATCAGATGGCGTCTGATCAGCAGTTGGGCCTGTTGTGGGAGCCCCAGGGCCAGGGGTGGGTGCAGATGGTGCACTTACTCCTGGTGCAGGAGATGGGGTTTCAGTTTCGGTTCCGGGGGCAGGTGATGGAATTGGAGTTGGAGTTGGAGTTTGAACTGGGGCCGGAGCCGGAGACGGAGAAGGAGACGACGGAGCTGGCGTCCCCACCGCGGGTGCTGGTGTCGGGGTGGCGGTGGGTGAGACCCTCGGCGCGCCTGCTGGTGCTTGTGCCATGCATGAGGTGGCCAAGAGTGCCAAGAGAATCAACACCTTAAAACCCGATGAAGAACCCATAGTTTTCTGGAGATTAATTCTGCTGTGGAATGAAAAACGTTTCAAATTGTGAGGAAAAGAAGGCAAGATATAGAAAAGTAGAGAGAGAGAGAGAGAGAAACAGAGTAAACAATAATGATAAGGTTCGTTTAGAGGATTTATATACAAATAAACCGATACATACAACTACGAGTATGTGCGGGATTCAGGGTATGACAGGGTCAACAGCAGGACAAAGAAACTTGTACCTGAATAATTCAGGAATGGGCTGTATCATACTTTGAATTGGTGTCGTGTCCCTGTTTCTAAGAAGCTTTACGAACGGAAAAAAAAAAAATAAGTCTTTAGTCACAGGATGTAAGAATTTATGTTATTTAGCACCCGTTTGAGTCCATTAATTTTTATTACATTATATTTTATTTTTCTCTCTTTTATTTTCAATCTCACAATTTTTTATAAAATAATATTACACATAAATCGAAAAATTTTCCTTCTTTTTCAATCACTCATTTTTCAAAAAACACTATTCCACACATTAATTTTTCCACGTAATAAGAGCCAAACAGAGGCTTAATTAGCCCTTGTTTTGAGTCCCATTTTTGGGGGGAAAAAAAATATATATATATATATATATTTTTTTTCAACAGTATTTTAATTATATAGTCTTCAACAAAATAATATTACATGTAAATTCAAAATTTTTCTTTATTTTTTAACCACACATTTTCTATCAATATACTTTTCAAAAATGCATTTTTCTACCAAAATGGAGCTCAAACGATGGCTTATTATTTTAAGTGTTGTTGAAATTAATGATAAAAATATTGTCCATGTCAGATGCTATCAACAAAATTCTAAACAAAAATGTAACTGCAACAACACTACAGTGTTAGCTCTCGTTTGGCCCCCCATTTTTTGAAATGAAAATAAGTGGAATAATGTTTTTTTTTTTTTAATGAGTGATTGAAAAAGAAGGAAATTTTTTCGATTTATTTGTAATATTATTTTATAGAAAATTGTGTAATTGAAAATATAAGAGAGAAAAATGAAATAAAATTTAATAGGGGCCAATCAGGGCTTTGATAGCTTGTTTAAGAGCATCCGACTCTTTATTTTTAAAAAGCATATATATTCTTTTTTTAATTTCGATAGCAATTATAAATTTCGAAAATAAAAATTCTTATATACTCCAATAGATTTTTTTAGATTTATATTTAATTTTACTACTCTTAAAAAATATTTGTTATTTTTTCTATCTTTTGTTTCCCCAACTTTCCTTTAAATTATTATATTATTTTCCTCCATTGACATTTAATTAGAGAGAATGTGTTCTTATAGCATAATTTTAAGGGTTAACCCTTTAAAATTAAAAAGATAGTATCTTATATTTAAATAATCTATCTTTATTTTTAAAAAGTATATTCTACAATTTAGATAAATCTATAAAGTTAGAGAATAAAAATTTTTAAGTACTTCAACAAACTCTTTATATTTAACACTTGTTTTTCCCAAAAATTATTTATGATTTTTTCATATATTTTATTTTCACTAATTTTCTTTCAATTTATTATATTATTTTTCTCCGTAGAAAATTGAAATATTTTAAATACATTTAATTCTAGATAGTGAATTTTACTCTCTAAGTTCACCCTCTACATTAAAATGTTAATTTAAAGATTCTTTTGAAAAATATGTTTAAGGGTTAATTTTTTAAAATATAGAGTATTTTATATTTAAAAAATTTATTGTAGATACTCTAAAAGGTTAAATTGAGACTACATATGCTTTTGAGAAATATTAGGTTAAATAATAGTAATATAATACATCAATTAGTAATTGACTGAGTTTATGGTAAGTTATATATATTAAACAAAGATACAGGTGGAATAATCATTTAAGGAAAAAAAAATGGTAAGTCTCCTGTCTCCATAAATAAAAGAGAGATAGAGATTACTAGGCACTTTGGCAGTTCAGTTGGAGAGGCGCACGGATCCTGGTCAGTAGGAGGCACATTTCGCGATTTAATTGGTCTGTGTGAAGAAGGGTCGGATCACAAATCCAAGAAATAGTCGTCGAAAGCGGATACTTTGATAAAATAAAATAAAAAAGAAGAAGAGAGAGAGAGAGATATAGAGACGAGTGAAGAAAAGGTCCAAAATTTATTTGTGCCGTGTGCGCGTCTAGTTTTGCAAACTTTTTGACAAAAAATTTAATGGTTGATTTTCTAGAAGAATAATGTTGAATAAACAGGAAAAATAAATAGAAAAAAAAATAGACTGATGTGACAGCTCATGATTAAATGTTTTGTTTTATTTTATTTTATTTTTTAAAATTTTCTATAATAATATGTCAAGTGTTGTCTGAAAATAAAATTCTGTCACTGATTCTAACTATGTAACTTGATTGCTTTCTAGAAACACAAGAATTGTAGTCATTTTTCATTGTCTGTATTTTGCCTTTGTACACGACTTTCAGTATTTTGCCTTTGTTCAGCCCTATTTATTTTTATTTTTTTAAATTATAAGTTGGTAAAAATTAGTAATACTACGGATGTTATGAAATGTGTGATTAAAATTAATATTTGATTTAAATACGAACTTTTTAACGAAAAAAGGAAACACGTTAATCCTTGTTGACTAAGCAATATTTGCTGCTAAATTTAAGATTGACTGATTACAATTAATTTTAGTAAAGAAGGTTTCATTTCGTCGAACCTCCTAATAAAATATAAGAATTTTATAAGGTTGGACTTTAACTGTCATTGAACCTTTAATAGTGAATTTTTAATGTTAAATGTTCAAATTTAGATTTCATCTCCAAAAATTTTGTTCTATAAATCAATTACTACAAATGATGCCCTATTTTGTGAAAATTAATACTAAATTTTTAATTTAAATCAAAATTAACAATTAATTTTAACTATATATTTATCAGATCCAAAATTTTTAAACTACGTATTTCATTAAATTTGATAAAAAAAAATTACTAAAAATCTGATATTAATCCCACGAAATTGAGACGAAATGAGAAATATAATCTTTATTGAAAATTGGTATTTGGTTGGACTATCTAAATCACAACTATTTCTCTGGGACACGTTAGTAGATAACAATTGTAGTGGTTAAATCAGCTGTATTATAGCCGTTCAAAGTAATTAGAAATAATTGGGGACAGAGAAAAATATGTATATTAAATTAAATAAATTATGGTGTAATGGGAAACTTCCAGCATATTCAATTTTAACAAAAGTTGTCTAAAATTCTGGACACTTTCTATGTCCTATCATGACAGACTCTATAATCAATTTTTTATACAGATTCTTTACAAATACAAAATTTTCATTTTGTCATTGACAGTAGCAAAAATGAGAAAAAAATTTATCAATCAAGTGCTACCAACACAATATCTGTAAAGATTATGCACTCATTTGGTAGCAAATTTTCATCAAAAAATAATTTTTTGATCGTTATTTCACTATTTCTGTCATCATTTTTTATTTCTTCACTCACAGGTGAAATCCACTTTTCTCTCTAACAATCAAAAAATCAATTTTCATAATCCCTACAAAACAGCTTATATGTGAAAAAAGGTTTTTTTTTCTCTCACCTAATCTTATTACATCAAGAAAGATCGAGGAATCAGATCCCATAAATAAAATTAAAAAGATAGAAATTAAAAAATGTCTTGACATTATTTGCAATCCTCGTAGTACGAATGTGTTATAATAAAACTAAGGAAAGAAAGAATATTAGAATAAAAGCAATAGAGTTAAAATTTAAATTTTATTTCATCAATATATTATTTCATAGGGGTAAACGCGGTTCGATTTGAACAGTTTGTGCTTATTTTCAATTTAAACTATTTTATGCAGTTTGAAATTTTTGCAAACCAAACAAAACCAAATCATTTTACTTTTTGAACCAAACCATAATTTGTGGTTTGATTTGATTTTAATCCTTGATTTACCTATCGACATTATAATAATGTATTTAACATAAGTTAAATATAAATTTAAATGAGAACTAATAATATTAAATGTTAAATTACATTCATATTTACCATGAAACCCATGAATAAATTATTTTTAAAGTTGGTTGCTAAAAGATGTTAATAGAACAAAATACATGTTTATTCATTTTTATTTACCTTTTCTTCTTTAACATTCATATTGTCATATAGCGATTGGTAAAAGTAGAGTTATATTCTACTATTATAGTTTGGTTAAAACTCCTTTCATCTTAGTAGTGAGATATTAAATAAGGATTGAATGAGATGTATTTAGATATACAAAGATTGTTAGAGTGTCGGCTTATTGAAAATTGACGAATTTCGTCATCTAACTACTTTATGAAAGTGGAAGGTAGTAGTACTAGTTAAAAAACATTAACATTTTCACACAATCAATACACTCCATCCTTCGTTCTTTCCAAATCACAAACTAGTTCATTAATCATTTAGGTACACAAACAGTCATTTTTCTATCCAAACTACTACTCACAAGTGTATAATAAGTTAAAAAAAAAAAAAACAATGAAAAAATGGCTTGAATAAGAATCTGAAACTTACCGAAAAAAATTAGTAGATTAGCAGGCAAATGTGATTGACGATTCATTTTGTAGTGGCAGAAAATGGTCAAATGTTAGGAAAATTAGAGTTTATGTTAAGGTTTCTAAAATTTTGGACATGATTTGTTGATGTAATTTTGTTGAATTATGATTTGGATTGTTAAATTTTTTTTTTTTTTCATTTCATGTGATTTTGAAATAATTTTAGTTTAGTTTAGATATCGGATGTGGACATGTGTTGTGAACCTATTAAATCATAGGTCAATAATGATGATCCTAATTTAGTTTCTATAATTATTTCAATAGACTGATTGTAATTTGCATTGCTAAATTAATATATTTTTTGAAAAGTGAAAACTGTAAAATTTTCAAGTTAATAAAATTAATGTTTTAATTAAAAAATTTAAAAACGACTCGATTTGATTTTGTGCAATTTTTGAAATCAAAACGTAAACAAAATCATTTTGAAACGATTTGGTTCGGTTTGAGGGAAAAGAAATCACGGGTCCACGTAGACCCGAATCAATGATTTCAACTCAACAATTTCGATTCGATTTGTGGTATCGCGAATTTTTTTTTTTGCAGCCCTACTATTTCAGAGTAAGTAAAATTTATTTAAGTATCCTGTTATAACCAATATTTTATAA